ATCGTGTTCCTTCGCCCATATTTAGTATGTAATCGTGTTCCTTCGCCCATATTTAGTATGTAATCATGTTCCTTCGCCCATATTTAGTACGTAATGGTGGCCCTTCGCTCATATTCAGTATAATGGTGGCACGTCGCCGATATGTAGTATATAATCGTGTTCCTTTGCCCATATTTTGTAAGTAGTCGTGTCTTTCGCCCATATTTAGTATGTAATCGTGTTTCTTCGCCCATATTTAGTAAGTAATCATGTTCCTTCGCCCATATTTATTATGTAATCGTGTTCCTTCGCCCATATTTATTATGTAATCGTGGTCCTTCGCCCGTATTTAGTATGTAATCGTGGCCCTTCGCCCATATTCAGTATGTAATCGTGTTCCTTCGCCCATATTCAGTATGTAATCGTGTTCCTTCGCCCACATTTAGTGTGTAATCATGACCCTGCGCACATATTTAGTATGTAACCATGACCCTTCGACCATCTTTAATCCTTCGACCATGCTATTTATACAACTATATTCCTTCGCCTAATTTATAAATGTAAATCTACCGACCGACCAATTGTTTGTATTCTCGATAATCATAATAAATCATTATTGAAGAGGAACAGAGAGTTACAGTTACTAGCGTGGTTAGATACTATACTAAAATAATACATTTCAAATGATCGATCAATCAAATCAAATATTTATTTTACTAGCTCAAAATTTACATTTGTAATTTACAAAACAACAGAAATAATTACAAATAGGTAAAATGGGAATTAGAAACAACCGTAGGCTAATTTAGCCTGATTCCTCAGTGTTTGCAGAAATAAATGAATTACACTGTCTTAGAGGGTGATTTATAGTAACCTAAAACTGAATATATGAATGAAGCAAGCATTACTACGGTACTTTGGAATGAGTAAATTTCCCTTGGTTCCCTTTCGTCATTCGGACCCACAGCGCCACACTGCACGAAGTGGTGCTATGAGATCTTCAGTCATATTATCGACCCTAGTCGGAATCGACACTCAGACAAAACAGCGAATTGTATAACAAGTTAATTCATGTGGAGTGCTTTACATCAATCTCGAAGCACTGAGATATACATGATTTATTGCCTAAAATCCCATTCTCGCGTGTTCGTTTCCACACAATATTGTTCATTGCTAGTTACAAAATCCAAATTTGTAATGTAAGGCTATTTGATCTTTACGTAATGTCGGGGTTACTATGGCATATAAAGAGGAAATCGTTAGATTACTATACATGTATAGTACAGAGTATGTTTATAGCAAGTATATTCAATTATATTAACAAACATTCTCAAATTTGTTATTACGGGGAATCTGTCTAAGCCATTACTTAAGGGAAACTCGACACAACGTGATAATCGTCACGACAAAGACCGGACTATCAAAGTTAAAGTGGATTCTTCGCCACTATTGTTTATGATACACATAGAATGGTCCAATTGCCGCGAAGCAACATATAATTTAAGATCAAATTAATCCAGCTTGTAAAAACATTTTGAAAATAGTCTTTTTTTTTATTATACGAATAAAGTAATTACATACACAGAAAACAAACTTACAACAGCAAATACGAAAACAAATATGATCTGGTGTACGAATACATTATCTAATTACTTACTTATCCATTTTTCAAAATGTAAGTAGATCTTATTATTTCTTTTTTCAATTTCATATTGAACTTGTCTATTTAAAAGAACAAACATCTTAAATGCATAATATGACAACATTTTGTTTTTTGTTAAATAAACCATTTGAATAAAATTATGGTATGGTTTAACATTGTGTTTTCTGGTGAGTTGTTTATTCCAAAAATGATATTTTTTAGTTACAGCTTATATGTCTAATTACTTCACACTGTTCTTGCACCAATTCCCATAATTCTTGCACAAAATGACAACTTACAAGCAAGAGAGCATGAAGATGATGTAACTAATTTCCATATATACAATTTACTGTTTGTAACAATGTAATTGTGAAGAATTTGGTACTGAAATGATCTCAGAACACCCAGTAGCAGTAATTAATGGCAATTTAAAGATAACGGGAATATTTTCTGCTGAGATATTATAATAGTTCCTAAATGTTTGCACTATCGAGGGTGGCTCTATTATCTATTTACATATTTTTTTGTAATTTTTTTTAGTTGTTAAGGATTTAATATTAATGTAATCTTCAAACCAGGTATGTCTTGAGTTCAAAATAATTTGCTTCCAATCTCAAGGTATAGCTGCTATAAGACCTTTTGTTTGAATGAATTCAATCAAAAATAAAACAATTCTTGTGCACATAATATTTGGCAAAAATCGATAACTCGAAAGACAGGAATTGGTTTGTTTTTGTAAATTGTATGTTTTTTAACAATGTTCCGTGACTTTCAATTTATAAATTTCCTTCTGTGACTTTTGTATTGAGAACTACGTTTGGGTGTGTTATTCCCACTTTGGTTATAATAATGATACATAACACGTTTATATTCACCAGCATATATATGTTCAGAGAATCAATAACAACACGATTCAATGTATTGTATCATTCATTTGTATGCAATGCTGTCTCTTTTTTTGGCAAAATTACAATGCATTATTAAACTGCTGTTAATATATTCCATTGTGTCATGTCACATAAACAAATCCCCCATTTGTAGTTTTATCAAATTATTGTACGTAGGGTATCCAACAAAGTTAAAGTTCTCTTGAACGCAACAATTGTATTAGAGGACAGATAGTTTATCACACTTCTGTTTCATGTAACAAATTATCTAAACAAGCTGGTAGGCTGTTTGGCGATCCCCCCGCTCAAAAAATAAAATGAATTAGTTTACACACGGCGCCTCTTATGTACGGTAGGGATTTCACCATAGACTAAATTACACGAGTGAGAATAGAAACTGGCTTGCCAATAGAATAACTATAATTAGTTTACACCACTCCGTGCGTATACAGTTTTCCCGATCTGAGTATGTGTATTTTTACCAGACCGCTATGTATTTCATCCGATCATACCGTGTATGTATATGCCTATCCAGACTCTATGCATATAAATTCTCGCCCAATCTGCATATTTTTTGTACCAGTTCGCTATGCATTTATGCCACTAAATGCCGACTGTGTTTTGATTATTGTATTGTATTCATTCAACCATCTACGTTTATTGTACACATAGAGAAAGCCGTTTGTTATCATTTGCGACGTAAATAATATTGAACAGCGCCACCACTAAAGAAAAAAAGACCGAATGGCTTTCCTCCCTTCACGATCATTTGCGCGTTTGTTTTCCGCTGAATGATTGTTAGAACTACTTTCCGTCCAAGGAAAGCATGGCTTGTCAATGGACAACGATTAAGTTCGTTAAATAGACGAGTGTCTGGTGGTATACAGATTTATCAGGTTGCAGTCGAGTGACGTCATGACCTTGGAGAGGGTGATTGACATTTTATAACTGGCTGCAAACATAACTGCAATGTAGAGTGTATCTCTGGCGAATTTTGTCACACGTGTTTATTTCACCGTAATTTTGAAGATTGATGTGTAAAATGTTGCCTAAGGCAGAATGTTCAAGCCCGGTATCAACGTCATTAATCATACAAGGCTTGGCGAATAGTCCCGGGACTGCCTTATTGTCCATTTTGCGACATACTCACGAAAACTCCATATTATGCGAAACTGCGACTCGGACAGATCGTGTTTGTCAAGTATATATTATACAAGTATTATACAATATAATACACCATCATCTCGGTCTCTGTCTCCGACTTCGAGTGTTATAATCTTTTTTATAATAATAAAATTCACAAATACAAAACATACAGAAGATTTGTATATTGGATTTATGTTTATGTTTATGTTATGCAATAAATTCACTTTCGTATTTTCTGTAACAGCTCCCTTAATGCTATTTTATGTAAATCAACCAACAAAGGCGACGGGTTTGACATAGTGAACCATTCAAATGACGGAAAAAATATCACATAACAAACTTGTTGTAGCGAGAAATGTATAATTTGTTATGTTCTTAGTATGACACTATAGTCTCTTAATGATATTAAATGACAACAATTTCGCTATAATATTATTAACAGGAGCTTTTTGTTCAGGGAACTTGGTATCACTTGACTGTTAGCACTTACACGCGAAATACCAGACTCGACTCAAAGGAATACACATTAGTTCATTACAGATAGTCGAGCTTTATTCATCCATTTCTCTCTCCCTCCCTTACAAAAAGTTACAAACTCTCTATCTTATAGGTCAAGTTCTAAGGCGTGGCAGAGTAAACATGCAATCAGCCAGTCGCTGCAGTCGTTGGTACAATCACGTGATCACCAGGGATGTGTCTCACGGTTAAAGCCTTGCAAAGTTGCGACTACTAAATACAATTAGTAAACAATTAATATATTTATCAAATTCCTGTAATATATGTTTATAATCTCTATCCGAAACATGCAAGGTGTTGATTCGAAATAAGAGTACAACGGCGTGTGAATTGAATGAGCGAACGTGAAGTCGCTATCATACAATATAATGCATATAACATATATTCGTGATGCACAATTTTGGAGATTACAGCTTTATTTTCAACAACAAATATCATCGTCATCAATTATATTAAAACTCCCACTCCAAGTGCTAAAGATCGATTACAGTATATCTGAACCGTGTCATCGAATGGATGTCTGTTGTCTTCACACCAACGTTCCAATCTGTTACAAACATCTAAAATGTACATTGCAATATTAAGAATTAATTAAGTTTCGGCATTCCTCTTTTCCATAATCTCACCAATTCGTTTGACAGACAGACACCACTGATATCTTTATACGTATATCAAGATTCAACCACCCAATTAGTTTTCATTTCTATAATTACAATATAACGTTCGAGCTGTCTAAATATAGACTTGTATGGTATATTATGCATACACTATACAAGCTATACTATAATAATACAATTACACAAGAAAGCTAAATACAAATTCGACATCGGTTATATACGTGGCTGGTCATCGACTATTTCCGTTGTATCTGTTTCCTCCTTTCGGCTGAATAGCTTATAAGTAGATCTGTAAAATGAAGTATATATTAGCTGATATTAAAATAAATTGTGACAAGGAACAACTTCCATATGGCTGAAACGCTGACAAACTGGGCATCTAGTTGTTATCAAAATGTTTTAATAACACATAATAATGACTGGACTTACGTGGATATTGAATCTCTATATCTATAACATATTACAGCACACAGTGTAATAAATACCAAAGCAGCAAGTACAATCCCAACAATCATTCCAATCTTGTCTGCAGGGAAGGTTAAATTAAAAGTGTTGTTGTTAATGTGGATTATAATCATAATGATTGTCATAATTTTATGAGCTATTATAAATGTTCCTGATGCTCATATTTTATAAGCATTCGTTATAATGGTGCATTGGCTAAGCTGTAAATCAATATACAAAGAAAAATGCGTACAAAGCAACCGATACCCTAAAACTGTAACTTGCAATCGATGCATGTGGACTCGTACATTTATAAAAACATTTAGGTTTTGAATTTATCTTGTATTTGGTATATGATATGGTTATTTTATAACCATGGCAACGGATAGCAGTACACTCACTGCGCTCACCCATAAAAGCATTTATAAATTAAATTTGGCAATTGACTTTTTGGCGTATACAAATATATGCAGTTATAGTACGATGTATATTATTACCAATCAACAAAACATGAATGTCATGTAGTTGTGTCAAAATTCGTTTCCGACATTTTCTTTGTGTATTTTAAGTTAAGAAGAATACTTCACGGGGAGGATTTCATCAAAATAACCCTTAAAACAATCCAAGCAACATATTCAAGCAATAGGTTTATACTGTGAATTTTATGTATATATGCCAACCTTGAAGCCGTGATAAATTTTATTTTAAAAACTCTAACGTGACACAAACGTCGATCTGTGTTTAAAGCCAATTATACGACATCAGAATATAGGGAAATTGCAACATACTTGACGATTTAACTGGATTCGGGTTCGCCTCAGGTGGTAGCAGTTCATCACAATATGTTCCCTCTGACAATACATCGTCTATTGCAATATCTCCATAATCTCCATCACCTCGGATCACTTCAATGAGATGCTATGAGAAGTATATAATACATAACGCCATGCCTTCACGATCTTGTGATGCACATGGCTAGATTTATATTGCCTAACAATAATGCGATGTGTACAATTATAGTATTTTACTTACAGCAATAGCTGCTCCTCCACTAATGTGATTTTTCCATCCAACACGTGCTTTTTTCCACTCGTCTTTTTTATTTTGCTGTCCCTCGAGTCGCCACACCAGAATTTCATCATCGCCCTCTCGAAGCAACAGACGCAATTCTCCAACATGCTCGCCATACATGTGATACCAAAATGTTATGCATTTATTTTGAACAAAGCGTGTTCTCGACTCCAATACCGCCCTGTCACCTTTTGATCCACCAGATACATCACATAGTGCATATTTTCCTATTGATGCCAATGCATTCATTGGTTTGTGGTAAGAAGATTTGAGCTTTATAAAATACCCTCAATGTCATACGAATTCGATACATGTCATGTAATAAAATATTACAGTCCAAACATATGGCAAATGGTCCCACCGCACGGAAAGTTTCATATTCGGCCAGTATTATTCAATAACAACAGCTATACTTTTATTAAACGAGAAACAAGTGAACATTACTACACGAGCTTAATAAATTTGGTACACTTGTGTCACGAATGTGCTATCCTGGTTATTCCATATATCCGTTTCGCTGCTCCTAAACACTAACGACTAATACAGTGTATAAGACATCATATAAAGGGCTGGCTCATTTGCATACAAGATCCTCGTTCACGAAATACCGTTCACCTTTTGTGATAATGTCCAATAATTTGATAAATATTGTGTAAAAACAATCAACATATTGAGATATTGACGTGTGCTGGGATAGTCAGCCATAATGTCAAAATCATAATATAACACATTACGTACCTTGCGTTGTTCTTTGCGTGTGGTCTATGTCAGGGCCAGTCATACCATATCTATGTTCCCCTGATCCTATTACCCAATCGAATTCATCGCGTAGGCCGTTGCGATCATTAAACCACTGACCAAACCCGTCATCGAAATCGTGATTAACTGTGTAGAAATTCAGATAATTAGTTGATTAGGTCAATAAACAATGTTATCGCTAACCCCAGCAGTTCAATTGTTATCATATTTAGCCAATATTTAGTCCATAACTTATCAACGCGACAAAAAATAATCTCAATGGTCGAATATATTATTTCATATGATATTTCACAGCACTGAATTTTGAGAAGGTTTGATATTTCCATCTGTTCATCAGTGATTATACATTTATATAGACACTTGTGAGCAAATTCCCAATAACGATATAATCTTCCAGGAATATATTTCACTAGATTTCCTAGCCGTACGCTCTTATAAAACATATTGCTAGCATTAAACAGTTTCCACACATTCTAATGTCATGTAGCGTAATCAGTATACAGAAAGGAAAGTATAGCGGACTCTATTTTGAAATGATTCATTTCCTATTTCCAGAAACAGGTTTTCTGCAGATTGAATATAGTGACTTGTGACTTGCAGGTGACTTGCTAATTGAAATACAAAAATAGAATTTCCTCGTGTTAACACCAATATGGTCATCGACTCACATGTGACCAATCAAAACCTGGATAATTCTCTTATACAAGCAGATGAAGTGAAAGCCAGAAGAAGTAAAAGCAACTTTCTTACAATAACAATGGACCTAAAAAATGAACCTCTAATTCAGTCTGTACATGTATGCAAAGCCTTTAATTAATGCCGGACCTTCTTGAAGACGTGGCAACTGGTGGATATTTTTGCTGGTTCAGCATGCAACTAAAACGCCAGGATACACCCTGGTCACAACACACGATTTTACGTTGTGAATAATGGATATTTATTTGTTCATAACTTTATAGGTATTACTTTTTTAGTAAGTAATCACATGTACAGTTATAATTGGTATCCTGTTAGAACCCTAAGTGATTACGAAGTTGTACTAGGTGGACTATTTCTGCAGATTGTAATAATTTAATTAATATTCAAGTCCCATTCGTAATTGATAATCATGATAATAGTGAAATTTCCTTATATATAACTTCATTCAATTTTGTTCCGCATTTCACGTTAATATGATCATCTTGTGACGTCACATTATTGGTGCTTACCACGATCTGGGCATTTTCCATCATTAACATAATAATCATCAGAGGCCATGTCACCATTGTCGCCGTCGGCCGCCGTAACAACAATCTGGAACCTCATTCTTGTATTCGGATGCTCATAAAAGTAAATATCAAAGCCAGCTCTAATCCAATTATCTCCGAACACAAGGTTGTTCTCGGGCACAATAAAGCAACACAAGATTGTATACGGTTTCCCGTCATATTCGAACTGTAGAAAGATAGGTCAAAAGTTAATAATGCGTTCTCATTCATAGACAGTATAATAACTCGTCGCTCTGCAAATGTAGTCATCGTCAATTACAAATTTAAGAGTACCACTTGGAAATGTGATACATGCAGCAGATTATTTATTGTAATGTTGATAGGCTTGACTGGATGATCGATTTATTTTTCTCAAATACTTATGACCCATGCATTATTCTGTTTATGAAAACTATTACTGTGATACACATGACTAACTTCTCTATATGCTGTGTACGATCCAGTAATTCCCTGGTGGTGAAGATACCAGTGAAAACATTTACGAATGGAGGCACTGTCCCATGTTATATATGGCGTCCACATCCTTGCTACATCACCTGCGTTTTGCTCACTGGAATCGACGTAGATGTAGTGTCCTTTTGTAATAAATCAAATTATAAGTTTTGTTTTTTGGTGTGATTTATTCGATATACACTATAACTAATATAATTCGTCAGTAGAATTTGCACATATTTACCATATTCAGTATTCGTAGTGTGGTCGACTGAGGGCCCGGTTCCTATCGATGCAGTTGCTCCATTAGTTCTCTTGAAATCAAAGTCGTCATTTTTGTCTTGTATAAAGTCACACCAATGTTCTTGTTCAAAATCGCACACAATAGAGTGGTATGCTGTGGAAAAAGTATTATGGCAGATCCAGAAATCCAGTAAGAGGGGCGCGCGCCTCCCATGCCTCCGCGCGTGAACACAAATGAACGCCCAATGACACCGAGAGCACCACGAACAGTATTTCTTTCTTTTCCTTCACCACTCCCACTGTTCTATATTCCATGGCTACATAGGTCCGGAGAACAATGGACGTTGTGGTGAAAAAAAGGGATTTGATGGATTGGAATTTGAGGTGCAATACAAGGTCTCTCACTCTCAACGAGATTTTAGCGCCATTTGCACTATTAACATGCTTAATTTTATTTATAAATATTCGATTTCCTGACAGTTTGAGTGTGGGTAGGGGCAAGGTGATGTTGGCATTGCATTACATTGCACTATTGTGGTTTGAATTGAATCTCAAATATACATACCCTATTGCACACATGTATGTGGACTCAAACGTTAAATCATATGATTAGTGATACAATTAAAATAAATGAATGATGCGTACGTGCAAGTCGGCATTCAGTATCATAAACACGAATGTCATCAATTGATATATCACCATGTGTAGTGCTTCCTCTACGGCCTTCAAAAACAAGCTGAAAGTAATAGTAGGCGATATCTATATTATAATACAACTGACATTGTCACTTTCTAAATATGGCATAATATTCTTGCAAATGACAAAATACCATGGCGTGATTTTACCAAGGTCCGAGTCTGTTTGGACCGTATTGTTATTATTCTTTTTCCTTCTTCTTCCGTTGTTTTTTCCCGCAAGCTGTCTTGAGATAACCGCTGAACGGAATAGTCTGAAATGTTCTATAATGATAAATCCTAATGTGAAGTAGTTTTCAAAATTAAGTTTGGTCAGTAACCATCTTGAATCGAAATGATTACACCGTAAGTGGCAAGCATTCTGGATGTTTTGTCGTAGTTGTATTGAAGTACCCGCTACATATTTTGCGAATAACAACGGTAGCAGCCAATATCAGTGCAAAATATTTATGATTCCATAATTGTATAGAAAAAAGTTGTCATGTCAGGTGTTTTGAATAAACACAGAGTGCTTTAAACTTGATACTCGCCATATAGTATTAGTATGTAATCAAATCAATTAAAAGTGACTTAAATATTATCTTAGATCTTCTGTGTAGCAGTTATGATGTTTAAACTCAGTCTCAAATCTGCCAAAATATCAAGGCAAGTCAATCTCTAGAAAACCCTTGTTTTGAAGG